TGATTGTCGCTGCTCCGTTATCTGTAAAAATTACATTGGTACCAGAACCTGTGCAGTTATAAGGCATGTTTGTCTGTACCAAAATGTATGTGTAAAAGCTCATGAACATCTTGAAGGGGGTATCGCCAGCTTTTGTTAGTTTGAAAGTTGTTTTGTTCTTCTGTATTGCTCTTTCTTCCTCACCTGCAAAAACGGTGGTGCCCCCCCCCCTAGCTTCCACTCTCGGGTGCAATTGTGTCGAGATAGTGAGGCTTTCTTCTTCCACGGTTAGCCCTTCTTGTTCCTTTCCTTCAATCTCTACCATTCGCATAAGACCATCAATTTTGAAAGAGTGGATTGCACACTGAACTCGTTTCTTAATACCTGTTCAATTTTGCATAAGAAAATCACCATAAAAAATTTGCGGTGCTATGTAAACGCATTTCTTCCGTCGGGTCTCGCAACGATGAAAAAAAACGTATAGCGGCCGGCCGGTTGATCGACGGCCGCTCGGCCGGTGAATGTACAGTCTGCCCCAATCGGGATCAGGCCGAAGCGTCGGCGTAAATTTGCGCGCTCGCAGCGATGGCGGTCTGCGCTGCATATGCGCGCTGTTGGAGAGAGCCAAAGGACTGAAGAGAGGGCAGAGAAGCAGGCCGTGGGCGTGACCGCGAAACCCTAGCGACGCGGACTCCCGCCATGCCAATTTTGGCCTGGTTAGGATTGGGGCAGACTGTGGCCGCGCGGCCGTTGCTTTCTGATTGCGGAGCGCTTGCCCGGCGACTGAGGTCGTTCGTTCGGAAAATGCAGCCGCTTGGCCGGGAGCCTCCAATTGACGCGCCGCTCGCCCGGTATTTTTGCTTGAGAGCATACTGGTGCTGTGCTTCCGTTTCGAAACTTTGAGATAGATAGGAAAGGCACTATGCTTTCGTTTTGCCAACCAAGTTTTGAGGAGATTGAGGACGCGCGCACATGTCTGCAAAATGTAGCACCTGTTGTTGCGATACGTCGCGTAAACTGCGAAGCGGATGCGCATCAACACAGCTTGGGTTTCGACCAGATACTGGTTACACAACGTACACAGCGTACGCACACGTGCATAAAGATATGCGGCGTACGTTGCGTGCGTCGGCAAACCCCAAGCCCTAATCTGTTCTATTTGAGACCGTGTGTACACTGCGTAACGCCACTGCACTGCAAGTGAGGGGTTGTTCACAGCCGTGTCAACCACTTACATCCTTTCCGACACCTCAACCTCCAGGCCAATGCCCTACGTCGTCTCCGCAGACATTCAGCTTGAGCTTTGAATTTATTCTCTGTTATAGTTTGCCACGCGAAGTACTCACGCTGCGAATGCGCCGTCACTACGTTGAAGAGAGCACATTGTTAATGGAGAGTGTATGCACTTTTACATCCTTCGTTCTTTACTACGATCTTTAATTTGAAAAAATTCAGAATTGACAGACATCGACAAGTCCCGTGCTTATGCAAGCCACGTTTTAAATCCTCATTGTTTTCTTCGCGTGTCGGAGCTGCGTGCTCGCCTTTGCATTTCCATGCATCATGTTTGCGAGTGCCCCCACCTGGCACCGCCAGTTGAGCAGTTATTGCCTATCTTTTTCGCAAATGAATGATCTTACGGAAAGGATACTTACACTTAGTGACCGTGGCCTTTTGCATAATGTATACCAGTAGATGCGCCATGAAATACTGAAACCAAAACAATCTTCATTATTTGCTGTGCGAGTTCCTGTAAGAAGTTCTAGGATATTTTTAACATTAATTTCAGGGTTTATTTTGGAGATCCAAGCTTTTCAAGCTCGGATATATCGAAACCAGTTTTTTAAAGAAGTTTAACGTGAAGTTTTACTCTATTGACGCTTTTTTGTAGTGCAGTGAGTGAGTGTGAGTGATTATTAGTGTAAGTGATTATTCCAACGATACTGTGAATTCTATCATCGAAAAAGTGCAAATTTTGGTGGCAAAATTGTTCATAACTTCTTTCGGAAGAGCGCACAGTATGAAACGAGGGCTAGGACTAGGAAACAACTCTTCAAGATACAGTTAATGATTTATGCTTCATTTCAAAAGGCCACGGTTTTCAAGTGCCCTTCCATGTTAGAATGGACTTCCTACAGGGAAAGTGTTTTTCTTCAAAGTAGCCTTTCAGAGGTATTAGTCCATTTTCAAGAGCACTGTATGCTAAAGAACTGAACGTCACCTCAAACAAAATCTGTCAAAAAACGCTCAAACAACTTAATGTTGGATAAGGTGGCAGTCTATACAAATGCTTTCCCTATAACATGCTAGTACTCAACGGCTCTGTACGTAAACCCTGCGATCACCTTTTTTCTCACCTTTCACAATTTCGCTCACCATTCCTGATCCATTCCATTTGATCTGACCAAGCTTGACTACGGGCCAGTTTCGAATTTAGCTTTTAGTGCTGCTTTTCAGATTGTTTAGGAATGTACGGTGTGCCAAAAGTAAGTACACACTCTTTAATCGTTGGTAATTCTCTTTTCACTTGAATCTTCTGCTTAGTTTCAAATAATATTCAGTACTAGCTGCGGTCCCCGGTCCCGCCCGGGCCGAGAGTCCAGAATGGCCCAGCATAGGGTGTGCCTCAAGATGTATACTTACCAGTCCTCCACTTTCTTCAGTTCACATCTTCTGACTCTCCTGCTTCACCTCCTTGTCAGTTCCAGCGCTCGTGTAGTATCCGTGGTGAATAGTCTTCTTTCTTGACCGGCTCGCTTCATGACACCGCATGCTCCTCACCGCAAAATGTAAATGATCTCTACCACCCCTTACTACTTAAGTTGGAGAAATGAATGGTATAGCCTTCATTTTCCTAGATTTTAGTAAACAAAATCAATAAATCGATAGAAGGACTCAGCGAATTGTCGAAAAAAGTAGCCTATCTGATGCGCCGTGTCTCATTTATAGGGAAACAAAATTCAGCCTCTTTGGTTCACATACAAAGGAGTCTATAAGCCACAAACATCCTAACAAACACGGTATAGTGTTTGAGTTTTATATATATATATAGATAGATGGCTTAAACTTAGACAGAATATGGAGAAAATCACTCATCGCTTTTCATTACTGTAGATTACGGTAGCTTCCAAGTACAGCGCCACTGTGAAATAGGCCGGTTGAGAAGGAGGTCCAAAAACCCCTGGAAAGCTATGTGGTAGTGAGGTCGGACATGCTATATACATATGATAAATTTGAGGTTCGTAAGCATTTCAGCAGGTCTAACCACATTGTTAAAAACACTGAAAAAACAATTACGATTTACTTGGCATAACTTGGGAGGAAAGCCTAACGTTGAAGTACAATATTTATATCCATACTAGATGACATCCCCGGTCCTGCCCGGGAAGCGGGCTCTAATGCCCGGTATAAGAATTTAAAAGCCTCAAGACTCACCTTCCTTATCCATATCTGAAGAATTCCGCGACATATCCCGCTGACTCGAAGAACCGGATCCTCCTCGCCGCAAAATGTAAATGATTTTTACCCCCCGCTTACCCAACTATGATCCAGGAATGATTGATAAGTTCATTCCCTTACACGTGAGTAAACAAATCAATAAATCGATTGAAGGGCTCAGTGAATTGTCGCGGAAAGTAGCCTATCTTCTGCGCCTGGCCTTTGTAGGGGAGCAAATCTCAGCCCAATCGGCTCACAAACAAAAGAGTCTATAAGCCACATACTTACATACGAACAAATTTACAGAGATTCAGTTTTATTTATATATAGATTCAGCGACTATTAGCCTAATGACAAGGCGGCTCATTGAGCATTCATTCTGGACAATATATCGCCATTGATAGCTTAACCCTTTTCAAAACTCCTGGTGCAATCCTACAGTGATGAAGAGCGGTGGATGATTTGGTCTACACCTCAAATCTAAGTTTAAAGCCTGCTCTATTGAAAGGTACGTGAAACTAAGCAAAAGACTTTGTGAGAACAGAGTTATTAACAATAAAATAGTGCGCACTTACTTTTGGGACATCCTGTATTTGGGAAGGCCACTTGTGTACTAAAAATATCTCCTTGCTGATGCTATTCTGCTGAAAATGAAATTTGTACTTGTTCAAAAGTCAATTTGCTTCACTTTGATTAATCCGAATTCGTGGACTTTGTCCTGTGATTCAATTGCAATCTGGTCTGACAGTTGCACTTAGGTTATTGAGAATGAGTAAACAACGTAAAGTTTAAAAGAGGATCTGGGCTTGTTTGAGTGGTAATTAGCATTGTTCATGTAATAATCTTAATTGACATCGGGGCTCCATTGGTGGAAAAAGAAGAGATATTAGTCGTGGGCGAAATTCAGCAGGAAATTTTCTCTTCTGTAAGCGCTGTTAACCCTTTCACTTTTCGATCCGTGTAATCCTCCAATATTTGAGTGAACTCTCAAAAAGAAATACGACAACAAGAATGAAAATGAAAAAAAGTTTGTTGGCGCTGGAACAAATTGAAACGACCGTAGGGTTCTTGCGGAATTTTCAGCGCGGAGCGAAAATGCTAGCGCGGATAGAACGCGGAAAAAACCAATGGGGTTTGATTCAGTTATCTATTTTGTACGAATGTAGGGCATATATTCCATTTCGCCATAAAAATGGCCGCACTTCATTGTTTGTGTAAACAATCCAGTCATGAATTAGGAGAAATTGTCGGGAGGACGCTCAACAAAGTCTTTCTACTTTCCTCAATTGTGCCTGGAAAACTCTTTCTCGAAGCATAAAGGTAATTTGATGCTTACCCAAGCATTGTTTACCTCATTTTTTCGAATTCATTTATACACTAGTGAACCAGTAATCTGAAGGTGCTAAATTGCAGGAGCGTTCGCTCCAGGACCCGCCGCGGTTTTCCGCTATTGGAAGATTTTCGAATTGAGCTAACGATTCTTTATATTTATCCACAATTTTTCCCATATTCTTTACATTGATATTAGATTTCTAGTCATTTCCTGTGTGAATATCATTATTGGTGTCTCGGTGGATGAAGCTATGAAAGAAGATCGCAGAGCAATGGCTGCTGCGAGAAATTGTAACAACAGCCAATTTCGGGCTATTACATCTGACGCTGCTTGTCAGGATCAAGGGGTAGCTGGACCCTTGCCTGAAGGTGTAGCGGTGTTACGGTGTGTCGAACATAGTGATTATATATGTTTATTACTAAAGATACAAAAACTAGACAATAGAGGTAAGGGGGAGGGGAAGGGGTGTGTGTGAGTGTCCATGATGGTCTCCAGTCCTCTCTTATATGCAGGTTCGCCTTACAACAATAACAGCGGTTAGGGCGGGGTAAGACATTGCATAACAAGTGATGTGATGTTACTCAATATTACCCAATGTTATGCAATCTGATGAAATGATCTCATGACATCTCCGCTCCTACAGAAAGCTCGTCCTCGAGCGTCTTAACAGACTGGTTGAGATACTGATGATGGTTGTCGTTGAGCTGTCGTTGAGCTAGCGATTTGAACATAGTGGAGGTGGGATTAGGTGAGCTGTTGGCGCAGCTACGACCTTTGTATCTCAACCAGTCTGTTAACACGCTCGAGGACGAGCTTCCTCAACCATCCGGGGTAAAGAGAAGGTCGTGACTGCTTCAACAGTTCACCTAATCTTACCTCGGTATGCTAACAAGAGCAACACTTTTTTCGATTAATCTTCAGCAAGCTCGAGGACGAGCTTTTCTATAGGAATGGAGATGTCAAGATATGATTCATCATGCTGATGTAACATTGCATCAGGATCATGTAATCATGTTTACTGGATCTTGTTTATCAGTACCTCTCTGTACCTCGGATATTACAGCAACGTTGTAATGCGGAGTAGGTATAAAAAGAGTGGAGAGTTACAACATGAATGACTGGCTACTAGCTCCCAGTCCCCCTCCCCCATTCCCTTTATCTTTCATGTATATATCCCTTTGTATAATAAACTTTAGATAGTCTGAACTTATGTCAAATACACCATAACACCGCTACACCCTCAGGCAAGGGTCTAGCTACCCCCTGTGCCTGATACTGCTGAATGGCGTGAATATTTTGTTCTAAAAGTTTCCTGTGCTATCGCAACGCATTTTTCTTGTAGTATAGCTTTTATTTGATGTATCTTTCTTTCTAATCAATTGTTTATTGTTTCAGATAATGTGAAAAGTATTTCAATCTCATGTGATACCTCGATTTCGTTTGTAATTTACCATTTTTATCTGTATATCTGTATTGCAACTCACAATTTGTGCATGAAGATTGATTTTGTTTTGAAAGTTTAGTATTAGTTTACACATATTTATCGTCCTTAGTATGTTTATGTAATCAGTGTATCAGTTTTAACACTTTGAAGGAAAACATTTTATTTCGAAATATCCTGAAAATGATCAGTCAGCCAATACACTGCAGAGAAGATTGTGAATCTATCACAAAAGTGCTGCGGCGAAACAAAATGTGATCAGAAAACGCGGCGTAGAAACTATATGCAAACGTTTATCGACTCAAAATCCTTGTCTAGGCAAAGAGCGATCCCTTATGCACTGTTTTGCCACTTTTTCTGAACTCTCGAGATATTTGGGACTCAGATATTAAAGCAAGAAAAACTCAACTTGGCTCCTTTTTCAACATCTCTTCGATCCGGGCATAATTTTTTGTCACCATAATCTAAAGTCATTAATCTATAATTATTATAGAGTATTGAACAAGAGGTTACGCACTCACACTTTAATTTAATCTTGCGATCAGTGCTGGTGAACGTCACAAAGTTGGACAATTGCTGTGACGCATTGTCGATGATCTTGTTCGCTATTATCACTTGTTTAAATGCACGGAAGGAGACGCATTTTAATTGAACTTATTCCCAATCTCCGAGGTCTTTCCTGCATGTAAAAATCAAATCTATTTTCCTGCAGTTGTGAGGAATGATTCTCCTACTTATAAGACGACAGGGCACGTAACTAAGGAAAATTCATATGAATGAATTAGGAGTATCAAACTACTCATAATTAATCATGGTAGACCCACCAGTATTGCTGTTATCTAATAAACAGCATTTACAAAATTCGGGACGAGGAACAAACGTACAGGCCCCTTAAAATCCATTTGTCCATCGTCTCTTTAACACGTTGACGACAGTGTCGCGCAATGGTGCGCGACAGGCAGTCTGTCCCTGTGGACGATGTCGCGCAATGGTGCGCGACACCCCAAATCCCAGTTCTAATGTGCACAATAGTTCCAATTTGTGTTCACATAATCAATTTAGGCTCAGAAGTTTTTCATGTTGGCCCCACCCCTCTTTTGGCAAACTCCGCCCACTCCGTTGCCCTCTACAAAAAACTTTTTTCTTTCTCAAATAGCATAGAAAAGCTCGTAGATGACCGGGGAACCTTCAATAATCTTAATTTTGACCCCGCCCCCAATTATGCAGACCCCGCCCCCTGGGTGGCAAGCTCCGCCCACTTTTCAAAAATGCCTGAATTTGCATGAATTCATTGATTTTGAGCAATTTCCAACATTTTTGAAAAGTGGGCGGGGCTTGCCAAAAGTGGGCGGAGCTACCCTGCCCACTTGCATTTTTGTACCTCACGCATAGATGTATACATACATACATGCAGCCGGCTGTGAAAATGCCCGGAAACGGTTCGTCCACAGGGACAGACGTCAAAAAAACAGCTCGTCGTCAACGTGTCAAACACCAACGCGCGGCGCGGCTGGAAACGTTTGGTCCCGAAGCGCTACAGGCTTTTTGCGAGCGACAATGAGCGCGCACCCTTTCCACACATATTTTTCAAACTTTTGAGGGAAGCTTTCGTCAAGTTATACCTTGCATTGACGAGAACAACATGAAAACTAAAGAAAAATTTCTTGAAGTATAGTGAACGCCGACAGTCGTTCGCGACGACCGCTCGCTTACGCTGGTGTTCAAGGCACGGCGCGGGCAAATAGGTTTTACGGCGCCTATATCTTACAGCTGTCGAAATAGATTAACAACAAATCGCAAGGATGAGATCGAAGACTGTCCAAATTTTCAGATTTTCAGATGTTTGTAGTTGCTTGTTGTTTGTAGTTGTTTGTTGCACTTACTCTCTTGGCAGCATATATTTTTTCATAGAAGGAAGTATAGCTCTTTACTAAGTGTAGCACACTGTCGCATCGACTGCACTGACAGCATTGAGTGCAGCAGTCACAGCGCAGAAGTACAGCAATGATTCAGATAAACTGCCGCAGTCGACTTTATTTTAGAAGGAACTAATCAATACTCGTACATGAGTTACAAATGTAATCCGAAGAAAACCTCAAAAGCCGTTTGCTCTTTCTAGCACAACCATGCCGTTTTATTCCCCGAAATAGAATAAATGGTGCATAGCTTGTTGCTTTAAGTTATGAGAAGGAGTAAGATTATATAAAGGTGTAAGCAGGCTGATTGACAATGGGATTTATGAGGAATTGAGACACTACTGTAAAGCATGAAAATTCTTAGAAAATCACTGCAAGTCTGAACGCTAGCAAAAGCTAGCATCTTCTTTTGTAGACATGCATAAGAAACATAAACAGAGCCAGCGCAATTATGAACGAAAATTATACTCATTCACATCAAGGTGGGTTCATACTGATCCGCAAGTTCCGGAACAGATCCAGCGTAGCCTCGAAGTGCGCGCTTTGCTGGAAATGTCTCGGAACTTGCGAACCAGTATTAACCCACCCTAAGAATGTAACCGATCCTAAGTGATCTGCCATTTGCGACAAAGAAGATTAAGCTTGCGGCAGCAATTTATTGGAGTCACTGCCGCACCTCAATGCACCGGCTGCTATGGCTGATGCAGCCAGTGATTTGCGCGGTCAGGACGGCAGAAAAAAAACCATGAGGCTCAGTGCAAAGTGCTTGTGCTGTGCCGGCGCCAAGCTAGCGCCGGCACAGCACAAGCAGGAGTGGACAAATTCGTGCAGTTTTGTTCTTGCTAAAATGAAGTTTGATTCTGAGCATCGCGCAATTTTGACTTTCTAGATAAACCATTTCGAGTAAAAATTTTGCACATTGCAAAGGTGAACTGAGCTCACCAAATGTGCACCTGAGACTGGATTAGATATTGAGGTATTCATGAGCATTCCTGTCCGTATAACTTGCTAAAGCTCAGTTTTTATGTTTAGGCAGTGGTCGGCGAATTTGATTGGAGTGAAGCTGTACAAGAACAGATTCTTGGAGCCTTTTTCTGGGGTTACTTTTGAAGTCAAGTGGGTTCACCTTTTTTGTTCTCTCTGAAGACCTGAGCATCGTTCTGGTAGTCATATGATGGTTTAGGTCTTTGGTGGTTACTTGCTCTCATGGTGGATGAAAACGAGTAGTCCTTACTTGTATTTTAGGCTCCTCTCTACTTACACTAGCTAGCCCTGTAGCCGCTCGTACCAGTCCTTATGTTTTGGTTGCCCTTCGTGTGGCCATCGGATTTCTGCAGGTAGGTTGTCTTTTTTGCTTAAATATGCACTTCCTAGATGTTTTGTATTCTCTTGCAGGGTGCAACATTCCCTGCAATGCACACAATGTGGTCAGTTTGAGGTCCTCCGCTTGAGCTCTTTCGATCCTTACTGTGCAACCTATGGAGGTAAACCTACTATGACTCTGTTTTTTGTCGTACTAATGCATGAATATCTAGGTCAGATTGGAAATGTATTTGTGTTGCCGTTTTCGGGTTTCTTCTGTCAGTATGGTTTTGATGGCGGTTGGCCGAGTATCTTGTACATTTTAGGTATGTTCCTTCATTGATTAAGTCAGGTGTTCTCCCGTTTTTTTCAATGGTCTTTTTCTCAAGGACTTATGGGAGTGGTATGGTGTGCTATTTGGATGTACATGTCTTTTGATAGACCTATAAATCACCCCCGAGTCTCTGAGGCAGAAAAGCAATTCATCACAAAGGCTGTTGAAGAAAGTGTGGGAAAACACACAGGCAAGGTTGGATAAACTTTGAAAATAACTAGAAGTTTACGTCTTCTGTTTTCTTTTAGGCCCCTAGCACACCAAAAGGTATAATTCTGACATCAAGAGCCGTTTGGGGCTGGTTCGGTCACTTTGCCGGCGATTGGGGAGCTCACACTATGGTATGTGCTAGGTCTCGATCTGTTCTTAGTATGTTCTCTAGAAATATTTCCAACCTTGACTAATTGTTAGCTGTACTAGCTTTCGTTTGTTGTGAACTTATCATTTGTCATATTCTTTGTTCCACCTTGTCAAATGTGATCTCATCAGTTTTTCTGGATTTTTGCTACGAGAACAGTTTTACCATTTTAGTTTGGAGTGTTCCGAGTTCATCATTGCATGCCGATCTTCTTGCATTTTGGTTGTGCTGGTTAGTCACGATTAGTCGTGTTGGAGAGCTATCACAATCGAAATGTAAGAAGATCGGCATGCAATGATAATGTTACAGTTGTGTTGGCGCGATCAATCGCGACGATGATTCAGTGAACTTTGCCCGAGGCCTAATCCTGACGGAATAGAAAACCTCTATATGCAGAAAAAGACTCGTAGGAGAAGCCGGTTTTTTCTGTTTTTGCGTTCACCAAAGCGACTCTCGGATTTAGCATAACGGATCTCAAGTAGGCAAAATGTTGGGTTGATTTTTAACCTAGCGAAGCATCCAAACTTCTTTTCTCTTTTACTTTCTATCATCAAAGGGTGGTGCTATGGAGGAAATGAAAAGATATCACGGCTAATTGGTTTGGATCCTCCGAAATTCTAACAATTTGTGTTTTGAATGTTGACTTTTGGTACTTTTGTAACCTTAGAGTATATTAGTTTATAGTACTGCTCGTGCTTTGCGGAAGACTTGAAACATATGTACTGTGAATTTTATCAAAGTCATTTCGTTTTCTTATATGAATGGTTTTGCGATTGGGTGGCAAAGAACTGCATCTAATATCATTTACTAGAATTCTCTTCTAATCACCCATAGAAATGAAAGGATTTGGTCAATAGATCTATGTGAGAATTCGAGAAAAATGCTATCAGAAATGACATTATAACAAATAGTCTCTTCAAATCAAATATATTGCAAAAATGTTTAGAACCACTGTCATATGGAACGATTGTTCTCCCTGTTACTACCTGTACAGAGATGTAATGATCCGAACTTTTGCACGAATTCTCTTTTCTCCCTCTATCCCTCCCCCTCCCAATTTCGCGAGCATTGCTCACAGCAATTGAAAGGTTTCTTCTAGTTTTTCATGTATGCCATTTTCAAAGTGCTTTTACAGCAAAATAAATGTGGAACTTTGCTCTTGTTCTATTGCCGTGATACCTACAGCCAAAAGAAAGATTCTTTTCTAAAATTTTTTAGTATTTTTCGAGAGTTTTTAGTGTTTTTGTTTTGTCCGTTGTGTTTTTGCTGATTTCTATTTCCTTAGCGCGCTCAAAAATTGCTTAATAAGAAGTCGACAACTCCACAAAAGGTACTAAATCTTGAAAATAAGTTCATCGATTACATCGGAGAACCGCTGTCGAAAATCAAAAAGTTCGAAGATTCTGTATGCTAGGAAAGACGAGAGCTGGGGGGGGGGGGGGAAGGGGGGTCGTTTTCGGTCGGGCTGCGCCTGACCCCTTGCTCAACCCTGGCCATTGCAAACACCTATCATTTTCAGAGAAAAATTCCGAAAACTTTGGAAACTTATTTGGCGGGATTTTTGACCTTGATGATTCTATAAATGACTCTGTACATTGCAATGCAGTTTGAATAGATCAATGAGATTTTTTTTAATTGTTGGAAGAATTCCCTCACGATATATTTGTCGTAACTTCTTAGATGATAATCACAGTAGAGCGTAAACCTCATATATGGAGTCAGTAAGTCTAATCTGTGGCCGTATTCATCAACGAACCCAGTGGGTTCCTGAACCCATTGGGTTAGTGCTTTTGATGCCTGTGGCCGTATTCATCAACGAAAACCCAGTGGGTTCCGGAACCCAGTTTAGTGCTTTTGATGAATATCGATGTAGAATCGATATTCATCAAAACCACTAAATGGGTTCCGGAACCCACTGGGTTCGTTGAATACGGCCACTGGTAACCAAGCAAAGTTTCCCCTTTTTTGGCCAGATGCTTGAGGGCAATCTATGTCTCACTGGCGCAAAATTTCTCAAAATTCTCAGCGTGATCCTGCAATAACGAAGAGTGATCAGTGATTCGTTTTTAGACGTTAACCTAAGCTGAAACTCTATGTAGTATCCGCGACTGATCAGACAAGAAAACTACTGGCGATCAAAAAAGTTTCGACACATTTTTGAGACACCGTGTATGAAACGGACAAACAAACCTCGGCAAAGTGATAGCAGTGGACAACAAAGTCATAACAATGTTTTCATGAAGATCGACGAAACACATGGCAGACTTGACAACAAACTTGGTTTATAGATTCGGCTGTTTTGTAAAATACATGTGACTTGGTGCTTTTGGTGGGAATGTTAACAAGGTAAGTGCCATAATACTAGCTTATGTGCTTCTCAGTATAGCAAGGTAGAAGGTTACAGCTAAGTCCAGCAAAAAGCAAACAACTGATTAAGTTTGAGTTTTTGATTCATTCACGAAAAGTAATTCAGTTTCAACAGCGTTAACAGCATGCTCAATGATCAACACTATGCATTACGATTTTTTTGAACTACCATGTTGTAAACCAAGTCAGTGCCATATTATACATGATTCTTAGATCGCGATTGCCAAAGCGTACTGAGGCATAGTCTGTCCTCCATAATTTGCTAATTTCCTGACTCCGATTTTTTCCTGTACAAAACCAATACTGATAAGGCTTCATGCATTATGCATTTCATGGGTGGTAATCGTTCTCAAAGATTAGCACAAAAGATCAATGTTTCCATAATTGATACTTGAAAAGTGGATGTTGATTAGAAGGTACTTGATCTATTACATTAGCTTGAAGAGTGCGAGAAAAACGGCTGAGTAGTACTCAATGCGAGCAGATAATTTTGATAAGTTTGCTCTGCCATTTAAGCTGTACATGTACTTGTGTGGCCACTCTTTAGACACTTTCTTTTCAACGCTATATTCTTGAAACAAAAAAGAACTCATTCTGCTTTTCTCACAAACCTTGATGTCGGTGGAAATACAATTTTGATAGTTTGCTTGCTGTTGAGTAGTGCTAAAAACAGTAATAGTGCTGAGCACAAATTTAAACAGCAAGATATCCGAGTAACCAGCTTTTTAATGATTCATATTAGTTTATGGCCGAGATAATGCAAGGATGATGGAGAAATGAATATCAGACCCATTTTCAACTTCGTATGAATCTCCTCATAATTCACTCCACTTATAGCTCGTTGCTAAGCGAAAGCCAAATTCGAATGAATTGAAAATCATTTCTGCCGAGGTTTGGGCTTCACCGCATCCTTTGAAACCAGGAGTAGGAGGAGTAGCAAACGCTATAGTACGCTGAATCACTTCGGGACCGGAGGTGACTTCAAAACAGAGTATAAGTAGTACCACAGTTGCGGACCGAGGGAGGGGAAGGGCCCCCCCGAGATCGGGTCGCGAGGTTTTTCGAAGTCACCTATAAAATTGTGTAAGTGATTGGCTGGTGGCGATGTTAGGGTTACTAGCGGAAGCAAGAAGGTCGCTCCCGAAGCTGGGAGAATGACGCCGCATTGCGAGCGGCCCCGCCCACCTGCGATTTCCCTCCTCCGTTAGAGCCCTTTTTTCGCCGTTTATGCACTCTCGAGTGTGGATTTTCGGATTCAGCATAGCGAATAGGCCCAGGTAATCCAAATTCTCGAAATTGACTTTGTGCCTGAACACTGCCTTTAAGCAACTTCCTTTTCCCAATTAATTCTGCTTCTGCACCCTGTAGGATATCACTCTTTACTCTACCGGAGGTTAGAAATGATGAAAGAAATATAAAGTCTACACATTATTGTTTTGAACTTCGACACTAAAGTGAACGTGAGTACAGAAGGTTCTGATTTTTAAGGTAATCTGCTGTCTTTGCAGATTTCCAAAAAAAATTACATTGCAAAAAGTACAAAAATTAAAATGTCGGAAACTATCTCGATTGATGTCGGTTAAGGTTGTAGATAATGAAGCACAAAGGTTGTATATGTATGCGCTTCGTTTGATCCATTTCGAACTTTTAAAATTAACCAACTACTTCTTAGACATTTGTACTTGTTGAGCGAAGGTATTGCTCCGAGATGTTTTAGCTAGAAGTGATCTGTTAGCATAATCAGGCAAAAAGAAGTCACCTTAACTCCAATAGAAAGTGAGCACTTTGTAACTCACCTTTTTGAACTCTATCTCGATTTTGGAACTTGAATCTATGCTACTGAAACCTCGTTTTCAAAGCTTTTCTTTTGAGTTCATTCTGGACAAAGTAGTGTCTTCAATGTCTGTCA